GCGGGTGGGCCGGGAGGGCGCTCGGTGCGGCTCTCCCCCGTTGCGCTGAGCGCAGAACTGGGTTTGCTCTTGCCAGTCTCTCTGTAGCAGTTGAGCACTGCGGCGCAAGAACAGCTTGCAGATATTCCAGCACAGAAGCAATTAAACCGGGTAGCTGTTAAGACTAGTATGGTGGGAAGGAAAAGAGCTGGTAGCTTTTAGACCTCTCCATGTTTGCTGTACAGGAAACAAAATTGCTTGCCCGGAGACCAGGCATCCAGAATGCGTGAAGCCCAAGGGAAGCAGCACATGTTTGTACTGTGTGTGCGTTTGCTTTTCTTTTGTTTGTTTCTTAGGGGCCTAAGAGAAGACAGGGTTAGAAGGAGGGAAAAGTAGCATAAACAGGGATGAAAAGTGGCCTTTTGAGAGAGTTGGGCTTCTTGTAGGGATTGTCATGTTGAAGTACGCGCTCCATAGGCCCCTTGTGAACTGCTATTACAGGGCTGGAGCTCAGTGTGAAGACTGAAGAGATCCTGTTTGAGGTGTGTGATTTGGGTACAGGCAGGGGACATGGTGATGTACACACTCCTGGTTATCCAGGAGCTGCCAGTTTCTTTTTGGAGTTGTAAGAGAAATGCTGTTGGACCCTCCATCCTTTTCATTTGGTGTGGGGTGTTTGAGATGGCTGCCGAATAGCTAGTGTAAAGGCTGTGTTTCTTGATTGGTTGACTTTGTTTTCAAAGCGAGAAAGAAGAGTTAACTCCCTTATCCTCCATAGCCTGCTCCTATGCCACATAGAGCCTTAGAAACACCAAGTGGAGAAGACAACTGCCTTTGTTATTTTCTTCAAAACCAAATGATAATGCTAGAGTTTGGTGTCCAGAGTGAGGCACTCGGTGCTGAGGAACGGGCTGCTTTATAGTGTGGGGCTGCAGAGCTTCCTCTTGCCTTGCAGAATGGCTCAAATCCCTTGCTAGTGTCCTGCAGTGTTCTTATTTTTTCTGCCTCCTGTTGTCCTGAGAACAGGCTGTGTGTGTCCTGCTGCCTAACAAAAGAGGGACTCCATTGTCCACTTCTGAAAAAGACATGAGGTTCCCGAGTCTGT